ACACACACACACTACCCGCCACACATACACCACACACCACACACTACACACACTCCACCTTGCGCACCACATACACACTGCGCACACAGTACTTTGGTCTAAAACATTTATAAGAACGTTTGGAAGGCCCCCTGTTCCAAAAGCATATAGGCGTCCTGGAGCGAGAGGATCTTAACACCAAAAATTCTTCTCCCTATTACTTCATACGAGATTTTGTTGGCATGTTTGAAGAGCGCACATTACTTCTCCAGTGGTCCCGAAAATTTTAGCTTTGTACCTAGGAGCAATTTCGAGCAAAGGTCACTTGCTTCATAGCTGCTTGACCTGACCAGTATTCTGGCTGTATTCCACAATTTCTAGTGGATTCAGCTTTTTATAGAAATCATTCGAGACCACAAGTGCCATTCGAATAGTCAACGAGATTTTCCATGATCTTTCGATTTCCCCCATTTAAAATAACCATCTAGAAAACTGTTAACTCAACTCCAAGTATTGTGCGAGAGTCCGCGATTAAGCCTACTCAACTAGGTAAGCATCGCGTAACAGTTAGCCCCATTAACTCGAGGAAAGTGAAACGAACTGGTATTTAAAAGTGGTCTAGGTAGGAAGGCACGGACTATACGACGAAAAGGGAGCTTGAGAGGTGCTCATTGCGACAGGGATGAAGAAACATGAGAAATGGTCCAGAAGCACAGAGCACCTTGCCCGTTGATTTCCGCACTGATGCGACTCTCGTCAGTGCGCACTCTTCAGCTCTAACGCTCTTTGCTATCTGATCAGTCGCCGCGTATAGATGATCTACGGCGAGAGATTCGATCGGTGGGCGTTCCGGATCAATTGCGTCAAAGGGAAGGCCCAGCTAGATTGCCGGGGCATATCGTTCAATGCGAATTGCGTGCTGGTCCGCACCCTTCAGGGGTCCGCCTTTCCTTCCACTAGGTAAGTTTCTCCTTCTTCTACCTTCGTTCTTATCGTGGAATCTTAAATCCTGCTCTGAAGTGACTGGCTTAGACTCCCTCGGGCTTGGGATTCCTTTTCGGTAGGAATAATTTCGAATAGGAATTGCCGGATATAGTGGGTGTCACAGCTGGTACAGGAATCTCAGAAAGTACCCACTAGTGTTCAGCCGAAGGAAGTTCGGTATCGGTGGCGGTAACTCACATGGTGTGAGTTGTGCACCAATGTCTCCTCCGTCTGGCTTTTGCTTGGTGTGAAAGAACTCCAACGACTATGAGAATGCTCTCGCTGATCATTCACTGTCGTTCCTAAGTGAAGGTCGCCTGTGGAAATTCATCTTCATTCACTGCAACGCCGCCATCCACCGCAGCTGATTCACTAGGCAGTGTCTATTGTCAACGAAGTCAATAATATGGATTGGCCGTAGCGCGGTTCGGGTCTAATCCCTTTAGAAAATATTTAGATAATAAGAGGCAGATTTGAGTTGTAGGCAAGGCAGAAGGCCATAGAAGACTCCAGTGTGCTAGCGTGACGTCACGGTATCATCTAGATACTGTCTTCATAGAAAGCTCAATTCGTTCAAGCAGATTGAGGAGTTAGTACGCTTTCACTACGCATGCCCACAGAATATTAGGTGATGTGACAGGAGCAAGAATTTATACTAGTGAAATCTTCTTAATTGGGTGCCCTCATGCTTATCAAACAGGGGGCACTTTCAAACTTTTCTATGAATTTTCTAGTCCATAATGCTTTCTGGAATGAAGTGCGTGGTCTTAGGCATGCTGAATTCAATAAACTAGGTAGAGCCATGGATCCTTCATCCTAACCTCCCAAAACAACAATTTTTCAAAGGCGCACTTACGCTTTAGAAACGCACTGTACATAGCAGGAACATTAATTCGGTTTTGGCTCATGATAGCATGATAACAGTTGAATTAGACCAATTGAACGGACGATGCGCTCACTGATTCTTTGTGTCTGCAGACCTGCTATCGCTGAAGAATGGAAATGTTCCGGTGTTTGTTAATCTGATGATTGGTTTGCAACTCCGCTTTCAATGGCCCGATGGATCTCCAGCGACATATATTATGGGATCGGATGAAGGCCCTCCGACTCTGGGTAATAAGTCAAAAAACCTCTGCTATCATGTGAGTTACATTTTGTTTATTGTTTGACATGTGATCATTCCTGTTGCGCCGTTCTGTAGAGCTGCTCGTGATCAGCACGCGATAGGAATTCACTTGCTGCATTTGTATTAGTGAGCGGGAAAAGCGTAATTGACAGCTGTAAGCCACAATTAAATTTTAGATTTATTGCATGCGCATGAGCACATGGAATGGGTTAAAGGAAGCAGTCACGATAATTTTCATGGCAACGATAAGGAAAGCTATGTATTGGAGTGGATAGAGGTCCTGCCCAATGTTAGAACACGTGAAGTTTCAGTGGCAGTGGCGCCTTATCAACGGAGTGATAAGGCGCCGAAATCCACTTCCGTTCAGCAAAAACCAAGACTTATCGATGTGGAAAGGGGTGCGATAAGAGCGTGCTAGATATGATACCGTTATCGTTATCGTCCCGTTTTCATTCTGGAGTGCACCTCTTATCAAGCAGCCGCACCTTCTTATCTCATCGTATCATATCTTCCATGGGCTTACACTCGTCCAACAATTACTGCCTCACACCTTATCGATTGATAACGCGAGGGTAGCAAATCCAGCGTGGAAGCCAGCGTGATCGCTTCCTTTAAAGACCAGATGATTTAAATATATCACAACGATGGG